AAATACTACGCAGGTTCTGCAGCTGTTCCTCCTGAAATATCTGATGTGCAGATGCCTCCTACTGTTAAACCTGAAGTACTACAACCTGGAAAAAACACCGATCCTTTAAAGACTGTATATCTAAGGTCCATTTATCCCTTGCTGAATTTTTCCTTTTCCGTGTTGAAAGCTGACACTGGTAACAGAAATGTTTGGTTGTTAAATATACTGGTATGCTCTATCATAAGCTCCTTAACTTAGACCCAAGAAGTTAAAGTTTTGTACGTGTAACCTTAATTAATGAGTAATTACGGCAAGAGTAATTAAAGAGTTCTTTTTAAACCCTGAGGCAAGTGAAACATTGTTCTAGGAAGCCACTACAAAAGACCAGAAAGCCCATAATTTCACTAGTGTTCTCCTGGGCAATGAACCTGCAGACAGCAGCCTGACACCAACTATTAGTTTCAAAGGGATACTAAACCTCTCTTGAGCAACAACACTTAAATCCTCATTTCTTCCATTACCGAGAAGTGACAAAACCAAAAAAAGCGTCAAGAGGGAAACCTAAAGGAAATACGAGCTGATCATTGCTAGACAGAAGGAAAAAAACAGTCAAAGGTTGAGAAATACATGACAGATGTGCTATAGTATGTGATTAAAGTAATTAGATAATGAGTGGTTACTTCTTAATGTATTTTCTTGACCTAACATCTCCCAGTAATTTCACTGGAACTTGCTGCTGACCAAACACTGAAGCACTGAACATGTCATCTGGGGGACAGGCTTCTCCCTTTACAAATCCCACCTCACCAATACGTGTATATACTCCACAGTAAAATAGGCATAAATAGATGGAAGACTTACCATAGCTACCAACCACACCTCCCCAGGCCTTAGCATCCCCTGTAACCCGCAGCGGTACTAAATGAAGGAACCTGTGCAATGCACAGACTCCTGGCATTGTAGCTGCTCCAGCCTGGCTTTTCCAAAGCCCACTGCACTTCAGAGAAAGCTGTCTTCTCAATTATTAAAAAGCACTTACATGTACATTGTGCAGCAAAGCCAGCCTGGAAGAAGGTTTAAACGATCTGCTGTTTCTTAGATTTGATCACCTAGTGCTGAGTAAATCATGCTGTGAGTTCAGAACATACCGGCTGCTTCTCATCCACTTGTGGGTACTTCAACACTTACTTGAGCATACAGACAGCTCCCAACAGCTTAAGTTCAGGAGCTAAGCACCATCTGCAGCTGCAGAGACAACCTGTCTTGTCTACTCAGCTCACTTAAGTTAGATAGATACCTGTGAAAACAAGAGCCCTTCTGCCACACCCCCACACCCCTTCTGCACCCACTTCTGGTATACACCAAGCAAATACAAATGCGGAACAGCTTTTGCTTGGTGTGCTCCATCTTTGCTGCTTTACTTTCCTACAAAAGCTGAGACACAGGCCACACACAGAAGACTACTAGGTCTGAGCAGAGGTCTAACGGGAGGATTTAAGGAGTGATGAGACTAATCTTGTCCAACATGCCCTTTGGACAAACTTCCCAACTCCTCTTTTGATAGTGTACAGAAGTAAGACTTACTATTTCCAGTAGGTGGATTTATGTTCACTTCGGGAAGCATTAGCAATTAGAAGTCATTACTTCAACGTCCTCTTGAAAACTTGCAGGGAACCAGTGCATCTCAAAAAGAACCAAGCAGTTACTAAGAAATTAAAGTGAAGGTGTGGTAGCAATAACTTCTCTGACCTGTACAAGGAAGTCTTGGATTAAAGGAGGCCACATCTGCACAGAATGAAGGAGGACACGCTTCAGAGCTAAATCTACCTACATCAGCACCGGTGCAGCTCTACCCCCAACCTAGCAGGCCATCAAGGCTACTACATACAGAAATGCCTTCACTATCAGACTGTTCCCTTTGTACTCAGGAGTTTAGCATTTTGTTTCCTTAAGTCACTGAGAACATCAGTAAAATCTTCTTCCCCAACACAAGGAATCTGAGAAGCAACTGCTGCACAGACACCTTTGGAAATAGGAAGTCTCTGGGAGACAAGCTAATCACCTGTTTGTGCATATATTCCCTGTCAATTTCTGACTTGTGTTTACAACAATGGGCCTTAAAACACAGGGAATATTTAAGTACCATCTTGAAAGCAAAACCAGACCCATTCAGTTCCTGCAGATTTCTATATTCTACTGGTGTTTTTTGTTGTTTTTTTTTAATTTAACAAGTAAAAACATGTCAAAATTACAGTACCTGCTATATAGGTGGGGAAACATTAGTACCAAGAATCTAACTAAGAATCTGATCCTATGAAGCTAGTTCACTGTAGAAGTACTGCTATGCTTAGTGTTTAAATACCCAAGGTAACATTTCTAACTGCACCTGACATCACCCTGCAGAAAGTAAAAAGAATGCTAAGCTTAAATCTGGTCTACTACTTTATTTCAGGATAGTTTTACTTTTTTATTTTTTTTTAACCAAAGTTATACCTGACAGGAAAACTGTTTAGTGCTAGTGTAATCTAATCTATACTTGCTGAAAAGTGTAGAATTACAAAGAAGCATCCCTCTGCATCAAGCATAAGCTCTGAGCACCCTTCCCTCTTATCCAAAGTCTCAGTTAATTCTCCTACCTCTTTCCTCACCAACCCCTCCATTTTTCCCTGATAATTCTCTCCTCAATACAGCAACCAAAACCAGACAGAAGACATCATTTACACAGATGTTAACATTTTGGTGCAGTACTGCAACAACTGACCAAGAAATTCTATTTCAGTAACACATTTTCTTAGCCTGAACTTGTTAACAAGGCAATTTATCTTCCTCAAATACTAAATGAAGAGCTTTCTCTACAGCTAGGATAAACCCAGAAGTAAAAAGAATGAGTTGGAATACTCCAATCAGCGTTGAAAGTTTAATGTTCCTGCTACATACTGCCTTTCAGAATTGCTAAACAAGAGTGTCACTGATCACAAAACTACATTAAGCACTAAACCAGTTTTTATTTATCTGATGCCATAAGAACTGGCACTCAATTTGTATGATTATATCCTTCCTTTTGCTGCAGTCTGGAGAGCACAAGAACTGCTGATTTAGAACTAGCAAGTCAATCTAGAGAGAAGCTACCCAAAAATCTGTTCACAGAGATGGATTTAGGGCTCTGGATCTTGCAGGCTGCAGGTGAGCTTTGACATCTGCCAACTTCCCTTTTCAAATATTGTATCCCATTGTATGATATGAAGATATTAAATGAGAAAGCAATTGAAACACAAACCAAGTTTCTTAAGAACAATGTCTTCTGAAATTCATTGGACAACTTTTAACAGTGCTTTCTCTTTTAAGATAAAGCTGCCAGATGCTGTTAGTAAGGATGGGCTAGATCTAAGTAAGGACTTCAGATACTTCTCATGTCCAAAAGTATGAATCCCAGAAGCCCTATATTAATGACTGCTCAAGCACGTAATATACCATCAGTTTGGTCTCCACATGCCCTGCAGTTTAAGTTTAAACTTAATCCTGGGAGACATTCAGAGACCAAGTGATACCCAAATGCCTGTCAGGGTCAGTGCCTCAAAGGATAAGCATAATCTGTCAGGATTTATGTCATCACAAGAGCACAATCACAATTCTACTTTAACACACAGCTACCAGAGAGTGTGATTTTAACTTTTCATCACTGCATTCTTCTACCCTATGATCTCTGGGTTATCTAGAAAGTACTTCAGAGTAAGACCATAGCTTCAACAGTACAGTTTTATATGCAGTTATAGATAACAAGAGCTCTTTCTCCCAAATCCATAAATATCTGGAGAGGAGAAAGATGAAGCTTGACAGGGATTCAAAAAATGAAACAGTGTGGTATTTAAGCCTTCAAGGAATTAAAAAAAAAAAAAATCAGTTTAGTCAGAGCACACTAGATGTTCTTCCTCTCAGGGGGGCTGAGGATTTAGAAGGGCACTTTAGATAAGCCTCATTCTGTATTACTTACCCTCCAAGCAAGATAAACTCTTTCACTTGCATCATCCTCATGTGGCTGTTGCTTCCTGCTTGCCCCGGTATTTTCAAACTTTCAACCCTTTATGGTTAAGTCAGTGTATCAGTGGCAAGGAGGGAAAAAAAAAACCAAAAAAGACTAGCTACTACAGAAAGTGATCCATGGCTAGCTAAACATTTCTTTGCTTTCCAGCCCTACAAGCACCCTCCCATCCTCCCATCCCTCAAAGTTACCTGGGTGCTTGCTTAGAAGATCAGAACTTCTACAGTTACGTGGAGGACGAGACTACATAGAGGACAGTAGCTTATTACTGATTGTGAAAACTCCAACAGAAGACAATTCAAAGTCTCTTCAAGTCAAGAGCATTCAAATCCACAACTCAAGAGCACCTACACTGCTACACTAGAGGCAAGATTAGTACAAGAAAGATCTCCTGGCCCCTGTGTTCCAACTGACAATGAACATCCAATATGGACAAAGTATGAACCACAATGTGCAAATGCAAGCATAGTAAACAGAACATTAGGTGAAGAGATAGGAATTCCTTGGGGTTTGTTTCCCCTGCAGACGCTTGATACAGGGAGTACAAACTAGAACACTGCTAAGTGTTCTAGCACTCCCTTAGACTGCAGGGCAGATTTTGTTCAGGACAAGCTAGCTCTGTCTACACAGACTGGAAATCCAAGGTACCCTTCTTGGCTCCAGATTTCATACTAATAATCAATGCCTTAGAGCCAGGCACAGCAATACTGAAGTCCTTTATCAGATCTAGCCCCACTTCTAAAAACCTGTCTTCTCCACAATGGCAGTGTTGACCAAGCACTGAAGCAGCCAGCTCAGATTCACAAGTATCACACTGCAAGTGGAAAGTATGGATCAAATTTTCCAAACTTTTTAAAATGCTATATAGTTTACTTTTCAGTAACTCTCAACTTTTGGTTCTAGTAAGAAGTGAACTGCAGCATGAGATATGCCTTACCAGTTTACATATGAAGATACACACATCATAATAAAACAAGACTAGCTTCTGAAAATACTAGGTTTTATTCACACCCCAGTGGTAAACAATAACCTTAATATGATGACTAGGTTTCTTTTGTAGATCACTATGTCACATAAAATACAAAACCCATAGCATAAACAAGCTGACAGTTATGAATGTTTAATGTGGTCTCGTTGGAAATTAAACAAGTTATACTAGTCTTCTCAAGTAGTCAAATTCAAAATGCATCACCATCTCCTAGTTAGTACATGTCACTGCCATTTCTATAACAAAGTAATGAAGGCACAGCTAGTGCAAGCAGACTTAAACCCGTTGAGACTACTGGGCTGAAAAATACTTTGGTTGGTTCTTCAGGAGAGAGTTTCCTCTAAACAAATATTGGTCTCAGTTAACAGTTCTGATAATCTTCACAGCTGCAGTCTAATAGCTACATGACAAAGACTTCACAAGAACCAAACTATGTAGCAATGAATTAACATTCATGCTTTAGGGGATTTACTGCATTCTACATATTGGCAGAAAATTATACTGTTAAAATGCTAGGTAGATTGAACCTACATTTTAAACTGGTTCTTAGGTGTTTGATTTCTTTTTTAACAAATTGGTTACTTAATCCTACCAAGATACAAAACATAAGGCTGTAAGTAACTAATAGTTGTGTTTAGGCTATTACAGTGCAGGTAATCCTCAAGGCCACATACACACTGCTTCACTGCTGCTTGCATTCTGCTGGGTTTTGATCCTTCTGTTGAGAAAAAGGGAAATATGAGTTTACAGATACCAGTATTTTAAAAGCACTCTTAATATTGCTAAACATGCTTTCTCAAATTCCAGTATTAAAGTTCTTATTTCATCTTTTCCCTTAAACTAATTGCCTAGTATTAGTAATACCACTGCCTTTGGACACGACAACGTCCACAATGACTTTATTTTGGCTTTGTTAATGCACAGGTGTATGATCCAGAACAAAAAGCTGTTCAGAACTAAGTGTGGTGGGACACTCTGAAAGACACTGAAACTGGAAAAGGGAGAGTTATGTGTAGTAACAAACAACCTGGCTCAAAAGAAGTATCCAAGCCTTCTACACAGTTTGATGCAAAATAAACTTCCTGTGGTCAGTAACAAGGGCACAACCTTACTCCAGAAGCCACTGCAGAGCAATGCAGTAAAATATCAAATCACGGTACATTCTTAACGCTCTGGAAAGATCTTTTGCAATAAATTCCAGTTAGAAAAATCTAACATGGAAAATTTCTTCTGTTATATTGAAACAGACATCCAGCAATATCTCACAGTAATAGGGGAATTTAACTTTTGGGGACAGTTCAGTTGCAAATTTTACTCCACTACCTTGGTCTGGATAGCTATTCTAGGATCACAGTGCTTTAATAAATCCAGCTGGCTTTCAGTCTGTGATCAGCTTACAACTATTTATTCTTATGGGATTACAGCATAGTACCACTACTGTCTCTAGCTCTTTGGCAGTTCTCTCTGAAACTGAGCATACATTCTTGCCCTGTCTCAGTTCTGTTTAGCTTAGAAAAGCAATCTGAAATGGTGGAAATAAGAAGCTCATTTTGCAGCTGTTTAATTTTGATTCCAAAACTCTCTTGAATGGGAAGCGATTTGAATACACTATAGGAGATGAAACATCAAAAACAGGCTGTACAGTTTGATTAACAGTTCTGTACCCTACATCTTTCTACGTACAATGATAAGATGATGTAATTCTTTCAACAGTACTTTGTAGCTTAAACCATTCCTACTGAAAAATATACTGCCTTCTCATTTGAAATTACAAGCACATCTTGCAGCAGATATTTTAAGTTCACATAGTTCACTTCATTTTCATGACTGTTCACTTCATTTTTATGAACTTCACTTCATTTTCATGACTGCAACTTTCACCTACCACTACGAGATGCTTTCAGGAGGCCAAACACACCTTTCCCTCAGCTAGGAAAAAGAGTTATGAATTGAGCAGCTAACAATCACTTTTCCAGCAAACTGACCCTGACTAGTCTTTTGTCCTTCCCATGGAATAAGAAAGCTGCCAGTTGTTCTTGGCTGTTCACATTTTAGTACTTTGGATGGAGATGCATTCCTGAATCTTGACTTCTGCTACCTTAAGCAATAAAAGATTTGCTATTATCTACCCTGAAAAGGCCTCAGTTTTATACTCTGGTGGGAAAATCTGCCTTTAAAAAAGTTGCTCAACCAATATTACTCTGTCAGAACTGGGACTGAAACAGTCTCAGCCAAAACATACTCACTACAGGAAGTATTGACTAAACATTTAAACTAAAAATCAAGATTTAACCTACATAAAACTAAGTGTGTGCATGCATGCACAAACTTCAAACATTATTTTTAATTCCTTACTTTTGGGTCATAATCAGGATCATTTTCTTCATCTGCTTCTTCTTCCCCCTCCTGAAAGAAAACACTTGTTTATATTTCTCTAGCTTATCCACATTCAGCTCCTCATCAATTTTCAAGAAAATTAAGATTAAATTCTACTCTTAAATACATTAATTATCACTTTAAGTTATGCATATTGTATATGCCATGCTCTACAAAGCATAGCATCTTTTGACATCAATTGCAACTTAATTTCTAAGACACTTTAGGGTTGTCTTTATTTGATTTGGGGTTTTGGTTTTGTTTTGGTTGGTTGTTTTTTTTAACATTCACCCTAGATCCACAACACAATGCACTGTATCTTTTGCTCATAAGTAATACTTCAGTGTCCAGAGCGTTCAAAAGTAAAGGAACTCTTATTCCAGGTAACAAACTACAAAAGGAAAACCACTTAATTTAAGGCCAACCATCAACTTACCTCATCATCTGCCTCTTCACCTTCTTCATCATACTAGGAAAGAAAATAAATGGTTTTGATAGTGTCATAAATGCAGCCATTTACAGCTCAAGTACAGCCAGATAACTCAAGTAGATGCCAGAGACCACACTGTATTGTGCTCTAAGAGAACCTCCTATAACTGACAGATTTTAAAATGCTTTATGCATCATCATGAACCATGTTCAACCGCTTAAAACGATGCTCTGGCAGAGAAAACTGTCTACCTTAAGTTCCTTACGTACAACACTGGAAGTGCTTATTAGACTGTGATAACACTTCTGGCCAGTAGGGTGTCTCAAAGCCAAGGGCAACCTGTACAGTCAGTCACTTCCCTCTTCTACCTAGCCAAGCCAAGGCTTTGGACTAAGGGCTACCATTTTACATTCTAAAAATGAATTTGAAGGCAGGACTTTACTTAGCCAAATCAAACTGTCAAACTGTCCTTTTTTGTGTGGAAACAGGAAAGAGAAAATATTTTACCCATATAAAGTTCTGGAATTTTCTGGTTTCTTTTTAAGCTTAGCACCTTTAAAGCACTTAATTCAAGCTTCTGCAGAGCTTGTTTTGAATATCTTGGCATGCTTTGAATGTGCTTATCTATAATTTTTTAAGAAGAGTGCCCTCCTGAAAGGATCAGGCTTCAATCTCAAGGAACTTAGTGCTTACAGTGATACTGGGCTACCAAGAACAGGCTGAGTAGCTAGATAGACTACTTTGTTCTCTTGCAGCTACCAACATATTGGGTATGCCACCCCAGTACACAAAATTCAACTCGGACATCCTCTAAATGTTCAGCTTCTACCACTACTTTTGCCATCTGCTTCAAAGATTAATTACCTTCGTGCTACTCTTTACTGAACGCTCTAGGAAGCTCAGCTGAAACTAATGTTGATACATCCCATTCTAGGGATACCAACATTACAAAATCCAGAAATTATCCACAGTCTTTAAGCAACATTATTTCAATGCTTTTAGCATTTTGAAAGAATATTATACTTACATCATCATCATCATCTTCAATAGCTTCTCCTGTGAAGTACAACACTGATCGGGGGACTATACGTTCACGCAAGAAATGACCTATTTCAAAGTCTGCAGCAAGGATTGCCTCAGCATCATCATCCTGCAGAAAACAACATTATTTCCTAAATCATAAGCCAATAACTACTTTTTTACACAAAAGCACAAGTTGCTCAGTTTTCAGTGTGGTCATATTTATACAAATCCTATGTGCTGACTTTTTTTTGATTCAGGGCTTGCTTGAAATTGTGGAGTCAAGTTTTACACTCTAAACAGCCCACCTGCATTATGCAGTGGGGGGTTGCTTCTTCAGTAAGCTTAATTATGCAAAATTCTGGAGTTTAAGTTTTATTCTTCCCCCACAGCCAACCTGCTTTTGTTCCAAGTAGAAAAAATGTTTAATGCCTCCCATAGACTTTCAGTTCGTATGCACAATACCCTTAAGAACTAAACACTAGCCAGGTGAGCATTCTAATTAAAGATTTTATAAGCTACTCCTGATTCCTACAGTGCATCACCTCCATGACTCCTAGTGAAGAAGCAATTGTGAAGCACCTGAACACCTAGAAATTCTCTCCAATCCAATCCCAGGTTGTCACTCCTTTTGTTTACACACCAAATGTTCTGTTGTCTCCCATCTGAGATGTTATCTTCAATTCTAAATCTTGATTTATTTATTTATTACACTATGAACATACAGCTTTTGGTGTCAATACCAACGCTTTAATCAGATTTCTCACTCAAGCTGCATGATGTATTCATGACTGTTAAGTGGTTTTGGAAGTTTTCCTCCTTACAAAAACGTGGCTTATTGCCACAGAGTTTTCTACTAGTGAGTACACAGAAGAGTGGGCTCTTGCAGTTTTCTGTTATTGTTTTATTACTTTCTCCAAGAGTTAATAGCTTGGGAATTTTTTAACAGCATAAAATACAGACCAGATACATGTAGCCATTAGAGAAGATAATCTGCATTTTCTGAATGGAAAGATTTACTCCACCCATTAGACCAAAGGCTAATAAAAAAGATCATCTGCATTTTCTGAATGGAAAGATTTACACCCATTAGACCAAAGGCTAATAAAAAAGATCACTACATTTGTACAACTGCTAACAATTGCCAAGGTAGCTTTCAGGAAGGATAAGCTATTAAAGTTTACTAAACTGAGCTCTAACATCCAACTCAACAAATACTCCTTCTAATAAAGGAAACTCAAATACATACTATTTATCACAAGTATTCTCAGTTAAATACAGAAACAGTTAAAGCTAAAGTCATTAAACAAATTTCCAAACAAATGCTTTGTACCTAAAGGCACAAATTCTCTTGGTGTTTCCCCTCCACACCCTTATTTTAAATAAGCCAACTTACCAGGTCTCCACTTGCAGGAACTGTAGGAAAAATAAGAGAAGAAACAAGTGAGTGAAGCTCATACTACATCTGAAGTTAACAGAGATAAAGTAATGTTCAGCTTACCTTCAGGAGGACTAAAGAAGTTGAAGAAAGAATCATTGGAAACAGTTTTTGTCACTGTTCTAACTGTTCCACGACCCTTATGTTTCTGTTTCTTCTTAATGGTTTTCAAAGTAACATTCTTTCCTTTTTTCCAGTCTATTTGGCAACTGGAGAGGAAAGAAAAAAAAAAGCCTGCAGCTTAATATCATTCCCCTTGTTACAGGTACCTTACTGAGACTCTCACAAGTGAACAGGTACAGTGAATATAAAATATTAAGGTAGTATTTATTCAATGTTATCTTTTAATAAGTTTATACTTTTTAGAACAAAAGTAACAGGTTCATTTTAGGACTGAAGTTTTTTCATCCTTCCCCACTCAACCTCTGAAATACTAATTTTCATCTGCTACTGAGTTATATGTAGTTTCCTATCAAGGAATGGTGTCACATCATTTTTAGTGCTACCTATCCATTATAAAGTAATGTCATAGCTGGTCATGCTAGTAACATGCCAAAAATTACCACAGCTATCATTGTAATTGATTACAAAATCATTGTAATCAATAAGCCCTTAAAATAATGCATTAAGCAGGTGTGTAGCTTTTGCCCACAGGCTTGTCTGACACTCACACAACTCTGAGCACATGTACATAAAGAAGTCACATCAATAAGACTGCCCACATGTGCAGAAGTTTCTGCCTAGATTCCTTTAAAGTCTCAAAGGAAGGAGGTGAACTGTTTTGGGATAGAAGAGATTGTCTTAGTTAAAACACAGAACAAGGACTAGGAGTAAATTAATTTCACAGAAGCAGAGTATTTTACAGTAACTTCTATCAGGATTTATGCTTTTCAAACAGTCCAAACCAAGGAAGACAAAACAGTTTGCTCAAACCTGCTCAAGCACTTAAGACTAAATCTTACAGGACATTTGTAGAAATATGTTACATTAAATGACCTGGAAATGAAGTGGTAAATAAGAGTCAGTATCAGTATCTGCAGATTAATATATAGGTAAAATCAACCCTGACTATGCAGTGACAGGCTCTAAATTAGTTACTATCAGTCAGAAGAACAATCAGAACATTAAAGAGACATTAATACGAAAGCAACTGAATAGGCTGTGATGCATAGAGCCCAAATGTACTTGGAAGGCTAATTAAGTACAACTCCAGTTTCTCTGGTCGTTCTGTTCATGTACATATACAAAATAAGTAGAGTATTTAGTGAGAGGAGTAACAGCTAATTTAGAACAAAAGACACCACAGAGAAAGGAGCGTAACAGATCTTTAAAATCATGAGGAACTTGGAGTTAATAGGAGATGACTCTTCTTCATTCCTCAAATAGATCAGCTGAAAGACACTGAGAGGCAAACATTCAACACTTATAAAACAAACTAGATAACTGCAATATAGAAAGAAAAACTGGAACACACTACCCAAAATGCTGCGTGTCAGAAATACAAAAAGATTAAAAGAAGTGATCAAATAGATTTTGAAAAAGGTATCAAGGTCTACAAAAAGATAACATCAACCACCTTGCAATCCAGCTTTAGTGATTGCAAAACAGTATTTCTATATAATTACAGATTAGATTTTTTATTTATATGCACATTCATTATATACTTATACATTATATAATATAAAATATAAAGTTTTATATATATTATATTGACACTACTGAAAAACACTAAAAAACTCGAGAGGAACCCAGCTGTTTACAAGTTATTAGGTAGCTGTACCTTCTTCAGCCTCTGCCCAAGATGCTGTAAGTCTACAGTTGGATAACACTGAGGAAGAAACTGTTACATCGCCTTAAATTTATTTATTAGCACTTACCCTGTACAACCCATGATTTCCGGTCCATCAAAGGAGAAGGGATCAGAATCATCTGGCTCTGACCTCATTCTATATGTCTTTGTCAATACTTCATTTGTGAAGTAGTCATTTGGTTCAAAATGAAATTCTAAGGTGAAACTCTTAAAAAAAAAAATTGCAGAGCAACAACTTTTAACAATTTAGCAACGCATACATTTAACTTCTAAGTACCTAAAATCCCAAACCAAAAATACACATGCAGCAGAACATATCCATCCTACCAATATTGAAGTGGTGCACACACGTAACTTATTCTGGAAATTGATGCCCAAGTTGTAAAATAAATCTGCAAGTGTTTCCATTTACCATGTTGATCTTCTGCTTATTAATATACTACTTGCAGAAATCACACAAGATCTCACTGTGTACAGTTTTCCTGGTGCTAACATACAGCGATAACTTCTAAATTTAAAACATTAAAACTTAGCAAGCTATCTGGTTTCTGACAAGGAAATTATATCCTATTATAACAGTTATACAAAAAGTACTTGAAGGTATCAAAATTTAAAGGTGAAACTTAGTCATCAGATATTAAGGCCAAATTATTAACTCAACAGAATTTGAAGGTTAAATTAAGTATATATTCATTCATAGGATACTGCAAGACTAGCACTGGTCCTTGTACTGTTTTTCAGAAGACAAGAAGCAGCTGCATATTTCTCATGATTGCCATAAGAGAATCAGCTATCACAAACCACACATACAAATAAAAGTGTTAAGATAACACAAAAGTAATCTTGTTTAATAGCTTAAACTAACCATAGGCTGTCCAGCTTCTGAAAATTTCACTTTTATATCTTTTAAGTGTTTCAGGATAGGTTCATCATGTTCCTGTAAAGAAAACAGTTTATTGAATTTTTTTAACATGCAATTGCACAGCAGATTTAAGACACTGTAGAGATAAAAAAAACATATTCAGAATGAGTTTTACATAGGACAAGAACCTTGGTACAGCACTGAAACATTGCCATGAACGTGACCAGTAGATGGCAACAATGGCTGTACAGAGTTTCCACTGCAGTACACAACCTAAATCCATGCTAACACCAAGTAGTTTTTAGCAATACCTTTTACATACCTCATACACACACTCCTATAAGCACAAAAAGTGTATTAGTAAACTAAGCTAAGTTCAACAAATATCACAGTAAGAAGGTATATTAGAGTGCTCTGTGCTCTCACTTGAATAAAATACCAGAAATGACATCCAAGTACTGTTCCTGCTCCTTTCCTAAAAGATACTTGGATTAAGTACTGACACAGCTTTAAACAAGCCTGGACCACCACCTACCTGAACCATATCACTGAGCAAGTCCACGTTCTTGAATACTGTCAGCCAAAACTCAGGAATTCCTTTAGGGTCTTCTTTTTCTTCATCTTTTTTTTCATCTTCAAGCTTGGCTTTCTCTTTCATTTCCTCCTTGATAGAATAAAAATGTTAGTTTTTCTTGATTTTAAAAGAGTGCCCAAAAGGTTCATTAACAATTTTATGTTGATACCAGTACAGATTAAATTTCATGTGCATGCTTTAAGCAATCATTAAGAATTATTATTATTATAAGCAAGTAAGTAATCATTATGTACCCAATTTTTTTTTAAGCTTTAGTTACTGTATTGAATCTTGTTTCATACTAAAGTTTGAGATATTGAAGAGAACCAGTTAAGATACTCACTGAAATTTCTTCTTCAACGTCTGCTTTCCATTCACATTCTTCCTCTGTAGGTTCATAAATGGCATTGATGATTTCACTTCGCTGGAAGATTAAACCAAGAATATTTTCACGTTTCGTAGTTGTTGCAACCAGCAATGTCCTAACCAATAAATTCCTAATCCTAAAGTTCCACAATTAGTAATACATTAACTATTTATCAAAACTTTTCTTCTGGACCTAGAAGACAACTTAGCAGTTACAAGCTTTTCAACACACTAAAATAAGCACCAAAATTCCAGAAAGGTTACCAGACCATCTGACATCTGCTCAATTAACAAGATGAGGCCTGGTATATTTAAGTGATTTTGGTAACCATGGAACAGACTGAACTCTTCTCCCCCTTAATCTTAGTTGATATTCACATGGATGGTAAAACGGTGTCAACTGAATTGAATGGGCACATAGGAGACCAAAGTAATTCTGAACATGCATAAGTTTTCAGTTTATATTCCCTTGTGTTTTAGCTAAAGCTTTTAAGTACAAATCAGATTAGCATTAAAATACCTTGTCAAATAAGGGCTGATAGAGAGCAGCATACTTTCTTTCCAGCTCATGAACTTCCTCATAGAACTTTGCTTCTATCTGTGCACACTGAACTTGAAGGTTCTTGAGGGCATTCACACGTCTTTTAACAACTTTAGGCAAGCTGAAAAATTCAGTGACACAACTGTTGTTACTAACACTGCATTCTAAGCACATATTGACTCCTCCTTAACCAGTCCCCTCACAAGTTAACCAACTTGCATCAAAACTGCTTTTACACTCTATTTTAAGCTGCAGAAAGCTGTACAAATCAAAACTATGACCCACTGTACCGTGCAGACTGAAACTAACATAGCACAGGCTCTTAAACTGAGGGTTAATCTCAGTCAGAACCAGAGTATTCCAAACACCTGGGCCAATCATGAGACAAACTTGTGCAACAAAACTTCATACTAAAAACAAGTTTTACATTATCAATGAGCAGCATCGTAAATTCATACAATTGAGCAAAATTAAGAAAGGTTCTATCACTAATTGGCCTGGTTTTATGAAAGAAAGTTCAAGAAAACTGAGTTATTCTTCACTAAGGAAGTTCATCTTCAAAATTCACATTTGTGTTTCACTGAGGAAAGCAGCTGGTGCTACTGTCTTCTGACGTATTAACTGCCACTCCCAGAACTGTTTTGCTAAATGAGCCCCTGTTTTATACATGTGTAAAAGGAAAGCAATCAATGCAATCCTCATTATAAATACTTGTCAGCTACAACTCTTTAATAAAAGTTTCACTGTAGTAAACACAGACTAACTGCTAGGACAGAAAGTTACCTACATACATCAAGGCTACTGGTGAGAGATTCATGGGGTAGACTGCTGACAGCTCCATCACCTGTGAGGTGGCCAAACCCCAGCATGTGGCTACAGAACTTTAATATGTTAACTTGCCATATTTATTTTATTTAAGCAGTTGTGCCATGTTATTTAGAACACAGCAGTAAACAACTGCTTTTAATTGTTAGGACGAGCTTCAGCTTAGAGGAAGTAAACAAGAATATATTACCTTAAACACTGAAGATTCATACTAATTACTAAACCTATCTTACCCCTACTAGTTAGGACAAGCACATGTTTCAACATCCTTGTTCACTTTAAAATGCAGAACCCTTCTCCTTGATAGCTTTATGCTCAACATGAATATCTATTTCTGGTTACTAAGATAGTACTTCCAATTTGGGCAAAAGTCCGTCTGCTACGCAAACTACCAAAACCGCTTACATTTAGTTACGTATGCTCATACAGGGCTGATAACATTTTTGTTACTCTGACATTCTCCCAGAAGTTAGGCAAGTTAATAATTTGCTGTAATTTTACCTTCAAGTACAATATCAGAACTAACAGCAACTTAAGTAGCATGTTCAGTTAAAGAAAAAAGCGTTAAGGAAGAAAATTACTATGACCACACAGGTAAGTCATACAACAATCACCTACTTAATGACACACGCATATATCGAGGCTAAGAGTACTTGTCCCAGCAACCGCACATAAAGTACTATGAAATTTCTAAGATAGTGCCACACAGGTAGCATGTCCGGCTCCAGTATGTAAGAGATTTTAACCCTTTTATTAGAGAGTCTAGAATCTTTTGCATGTTTCAAAGCTATATTTCATTACAGTCCACGCCAACTAGTTCAAATTTCAAAGGTCATATAATGAAAGAGACAGCTCTTACAAAGTAAATCCAAAATGGAGAAGCAGACCAAGAAGTATGAACTGGACTGCACAAATACAACAGCAGCAAGCAAAACCTGTTGCTGTGAATACAGCAAATGTTATAATTACACAAGAATACAACCTCCTGTGAGCAGCTGGGGGAGATTTTGCTCTATGAAAGTAAGTTTCACTATAATTATTGAGGCCAAGCACAGGTATTGAGGTAAGTTATTGGAAAGTTGCCAGGCAATTAGCAAATTCTAAACCTGAGCAGACAGATGTTTTCCTGGAACCTGTTTAGTTTCCTACCAGCTTATGCATCTAGTTCCGTAACAGCCCACATAACTGGCTTTTAGGATCCCAGATTCCTGCTAACTTCTGTGCCATCTCAGTGTCTAGACTCTGTAGATAAATGAGCTCAAAAGACTACTTGGGAAGACATGTAAGAGGCACCTGTAAAGCATGGTTAAGACAGCATGCATATGTTGAGAAAGTGCAAGCAAGCTACACACATTTTCCAGCTATTTTTGCACTGCAAGCTAGGTAAGCATCTGGTAACAATAGCAAAGTCGCAATGCTTTTGTGACATGAGAATGCACTACTGTACTTGGAATTGATGAAGAAACTGGTACAGTATCTTAGAGAGCAGCTGACTAGAAGAATGTCATGTAAATCAGTGTTATCATCTTTGTTCACTTCTTAGATCAAGGACCTCAAATATTAGCAGAGGTTAATTAACTTCTGTTGAAAAACAGAAGAAAAATATTGGGTATAGAAAGCCTATAGCGCACAGTATCTAGAAGAGAAACAACCTGGGTACCCTTTGGCTCCATGTTCTTTCTTGGTCCAGCATTTATTAGGGAAGGCTGTTAGTTAAATGGTCTTTTCTTTCATGCTATTGTCTATAACAGGGAAGCTGTATGAGTAGCAGCAGCAGCAGTGCCTGTTACTCGGGAGCTGCCCTAGTTCAAGCCAATAGCGATGTAGGAGCCTATCACAGCCAGGCAGCTGAATACTTCACAATTCCTATGGACATGAAGTGTTTGTACACAATCAGAAATTATGAAAAAGAGTCAAAAATTTCCATCTGTTAATGCAGATCAAGTAAAGAAAATTTTAGAAAGCAATTGTTGCAAGTTTTGATACATACCACATGAAGCACTGACACAACAGTCCTAATTTTATTAGCTCCTGGTTGCACTCTATATTAGAGACACCAGGTGTCCGAGTATTTGTCCATACATAAGATAACTGATGTTTCATTATTAAGGCAAAGCTACAGAAGACATTCCGAGTAACAGGAAAGTACTTTTTAAAGTGTGCCATATTGTAACCGCACAGAACAAGGTTGTTCACTGCTAATATTTTAGTATTCTTTTCTTCAAAAAAGCCCAAATAAAAACTTCAATTCTGAGATGCACTACAGACAGGCTACATTAGTTTTCCTGCTCTCTAGTTTATGACTATTAATCCTACAGACAGTGGTTTATGACTATTAATCCTACAGAAAACACTGTTCAGAAAGCAAAAGAACCATTTATACCACTCTGCACATACTGAACAAATACTGTACCTCTCTATATATCCTGTAGATGTTCCTACCAGACCATCAAGTCTTTCCTGAAGGGCTGCAAGAATCTGAGGATTTTGCATCATCTGCACAGTCAACTGTCGAGCTAAATTAAAAAAGAAAATTACATAAGTGCAATAGTGCTTTTGGACTAATCTTGAAACAAAAGTTACTTTAATACTACAAAAGAGCAGCAGATTTACTATATATACACTTGTAAAAAGAAAGATAGGCAAAGGCATATGTCAAACACCTCTTTATTTTGGAAGCATGGATCAAATCCATCCTCTCCTGAACACAGAAGCAGCACCTCAATTAAAATGGCTACTATTCAGCAAGCTGAGCTTTTCAGTTAAAAAGGAAGGTTTTGTATGATGCCCCTACAAGCACCAGTTTTGCCTTGACTGCTTTTACTTTGAATTCATTAAGGAAAGGCAAGGTAAAAGAATTTGGTTTTACTTTAAGAAGGCAATAAAAACAAATTGGTATTTTCATTCCATTTTAGGTAAACTGAAAGAAACGAGAGTTTCAGACTTGGGTTTAAAACTGCTTCACAAACCTAAAACCTACTATTAAAACTTGTTTCTGATTCATAAAATCCAATTTTCTTCCAAGATTCCTAGAGCATAATTTCCTCTCGGGTCCTCATCTAAATAGATGGGATTAATCACTAAAAATACACATTGTTCACGTCTAGGTTCCTTCGGGACACCTGAATACTGACTATTTAAATATTGTAAGCTGTTCTTCAGCTGACCAGTGTGTTCCTCAGAATTTTGCAATCCAGTTTTGAAAACACTTTTTTCAATAGATACAGTGAAGCCTCTAACATCATCTTCAGCAAAATTATCTTGCTTTTCTTTGGTGTAATTATTCTGTTCAAGCAAATCACACAATGTAGCACTATCAGCAGTTAAAATAATTTTATTGCAGAGATTATTAGTTATTTCTCTTTTGGATACTTGCTCTTCAGATTCTATCTGTGCCCCCAGTCTTTGACTACAAAGCATGAGTAAGACTGTTCAGCACAGACAAAACAAGTATTCCAATACACGTTCAGATTTTTTTGCTGAAGGGGGAAAAAAGGGTTTATTGATTTTAAGAGTGGTAACACTAAGTATGATTTTTGTTCTGTTCACAATCAAACAATTCAGCAACAAATTACTAAGCAACTGATCAAAAAAAATGAGACACACATATATGCACCTGATATTTTAGTTTTCAAAGAATCTAATTCACATACCCACAATAATTCTTTCTTTTCCAATTATACATCCTCAGAGGTGCCCAGCACTGCCTGAACAGGTACAAACCATAACTAAGTGACTGCAGACAACTAATAAAAATCATACAACTGGAAAAAAGAGTCCTTGCTTCAGAATTTAAATACAGTTGTGCATCAGTAGTTATGTTTTACCATTACCCGTATTTTAAACGGTAAAACCGTTTTAACACATTAATTAGAAAACACAGATGCAGCTTCTTAGAAACCCTTGTTTACAATGTTACCTTTGCTATTGGCATCTTCACCAGTTTCTTCTTCTTCAACTTCTTCAACATCTTCCATATCCTGTTGATCAAGTTCAGACTGTTCTTTGCTATTAGGAATATTCAGCAACAGGATCAAGAAGTTACTTTTATAAAATACTATAATGAGTTTAAAGAGCTTGAGTTAGAGATCATACGGGTAGAAGCAAAGTATTGCATCAGTTTTGATCTACGACAAAATAGAAGTCTTAACAGCAAAAGCCAAATTTATCTTCATAGATTCAAGTTTCACATTCAACAATCTCAGAACAGTTTAAAGAACTAGGAGCTTTTCAGAATTTTGAAGATTTCTTTTTACAACAGAATTCTTTCAGCTCCTGTTCATATCAACAAGACAAAGCCTCCTTCTGCTCTACACTTCCTCTTTGTTAAGATGTGCAAGCTTTGAGAATTGAGGGTAGGTTCACCTAAACTATACTTTGAATGCCACAAAATGTGAGCATTTGAAGTATACAAAAAACTATGTACAGTGAAACAATACTAATGGGCAGTACTATCAGTTTTCCCCTCCAGAATTGCAACTAACATAGCAGAGCTGACTGGTACCTTGTCCCAATTTTAGATTTACTTACAATTAAGATCTCGAACCCTCTTGGTTTGAGCAACTAAGCTTTTCTCCCACATGCTATAAACCTCACATCTTGCCACAGTGCTAAGACCAGTACCTAGACCTTGTCTATCATGTATCTGGAGATAACAGCCATCAGCAGTACAGCACAGGACACAGTTAGAGCCTGCTTCAGTAACCTACAGGATTTTACTTACTTGTCTATGTCTGCCATTCTCCCAGATTTCAAATCCTAGAGGAAAAAAACAAAAATGTAAGAACAGCATCATTACACTTCACTTAAAAGGTCTATAGGCACGTACCACAATACTAAAAAGGAAAGAAACACACACCACATCAGCTTTAATAAATAAGATAAATATTATAGTCTGGAGGGGCTTATCTCCTGTGCACTTTTTGAGCTCTCACTCTAAAGCATACAGAAAAACTGGAAAACTTTGTTCTGGTTTATCAAAGAATGGTTTGGGTTGGAAGGGACCTTAAAGATCATCTATTTCCAAGCCCCCTGCCATCAGCAGGGACACCTTCCACTAGACCAGGTTTACAGTGGCAATAGAGTATTTAGAAGATTGCACGTAATCAAAAAGCTTCAATTCCCCAGTATGCAGAAAAACTAGAGAACCAACTACTTATCAATCTATTTCAGAAAAATAACACAGTTTTTGCTATCAAATATAATGGCAGTATCACTGTAAACCAAAGGACATTTAACAATTCAATAAAAAAATCAAGGAGTTCCAGTAACATTTTTGACTCATTTTAAGTTTCTTGAAATTCAGATAATGTTTGCCTGTCTTGTGACTTCAGGTTTACATATGGATGCAAGCTGCCTATACAACAATTCCAGAGAGTCTCTTTTGGATACCATTCTCAAAAGACAGCATAGAATTATAGAAACACAAAACACATTACAGTTACAACTGACATTTAGATGTCTCTATTTCTTGAGTGATATAACAATCAGCATTATTTCTGATTTGCAAAAGATTTTATATCCATGCAAAATATAAAACTTTTTCCTTACACATTTCCTCTTGTTCTTCGTGCAGGATCTTTTCAAGAACACTGGTAGTATCACTGTGCAAAAGATCATGAGATGCACAGCTCACCTGCCTTTCACACACTTCTATGTAAATGTGACAGACAGTGATCACACTCAAACTATTACTGCTCCTTGCAGAGATCAACATTTCCTCCCTCCATTCTCCCCATCAAATACAGCTTCATTTTCCATAAAACTTGAGGCAGTTCTTTCAACAAAGGTGTGACTAGGGACAACACACACCCTGTGGTCTCACCAAGCCAGTGGACTAAATGGAACAGCAGCTGAAACACCTTAGGTACAGGTTTGCTGAAAGAGACCAACTTCTGCAGTTCATTTAAACATTTTTTTCCTCAATGAGGACATGAGATTGGCTATGACCGAGTCACACCTAAAAATGTTAGGAAGCATCCACCCTGTCTCCAACAGTGGGAATTAGCAGATGACTAGGAAAAAAGGCAATGACATGTCAAGAATTCCCCCAGAAACTCTTCTAGCTTTCAATCACATTCAGAAAAAACCACGTTGGCTCAGAAAGTGCAAGTATTTGACAATCTCATAATAAATTTTTATTTCATCTTCTCTGAAACCATGCAGGTGGCTCATGTTATCACTCAAGTATCAAAGTGCTAAAATCCCGTTTCTGAGGTGCAACATTCAGCTCGGAGAACTTAACTAAGTCAGACTTTTCTACACCAGGCAATAGTGTGGCAGAGGAAGTTTCACCAGCAGTCTGTGTGTTCTTGAATTCCTCAGTGGGCCCCTGTTTTCACCACTCTGAACAACTACAACTACCTGTCATCAGCAATCTTCATCCTTTCACTGTTCACCCCTCTTTCTAAGATCACCACTTATGACCATGCTGAAGGCATTAATCTCATTACAGAACCCTATGGAAGTCCAGCATCTGCCTGCCTCTCTCTCCTCATTGCAAGGGGCAGTTACTCACCCTCTGCTTCCTGGCTTTCAAACAAAACATGCAAGCACTGTCTGTTTTCCAACTATGGCCCAGTTTACTCAAAGACTTTGAATAATATTCTTCAAAGTTTTTTTTGGAAACTAAAATAGACTGTATCAAGCTGCTGTCAACTTCAGAGCCTCCCTCCAGTGTGTTCCTATCTGCCTCATCCCATTCGTCCTATTCTCCTTGCATCAGTCTTTTTCATGTCTCATCCTTTAATCTTCCCTCCACTTTTTACACAACTCAATATCAGAACATTCGCAGTTGGAAGAGTTCTTCTGCAAACTGAGGAGGTACTACTGTGTGATGACACTGTCGTCTTCCAGCTCTAGACAACAGTTCTTGTATGAGGAGGCTATAAGGCAGTATGCCAACAGAACTACACTGGCAGACATTTAGCTTTATCTGTGCAACCCACTAGCATGGATATATAGTTGCATCACATTCAGTTTATCATCATTTACTTAAACAACCATAAGCTTCTCTGCAAACACAGTTCTACTGGCTAAAAAAAGTGCAGAGGCAGAAAAGCACTGAGAAAATACATTCCTTCAGAGCAGACAGCCTCCACTATTATTGCGCAATGCCCAATACAAGGCCCCAGTCTAGTACCCAGAGCTTCGGACACAGTAGGTACCACCATCAGTAACACTAAAATCCATCACTGCAGTATTTATTTTGCAGTATCTCTCCAAAACTAAATCTTTGGCTATAGTATTCATTCACCCAGCTCTCCACAAAAACCACACAGGTGTCCTTCTCGGTTTTTTCCGAGGACTGTGGTACATTTAGGATTGTGAACAGCAGCTGCACCTTGGCACATAAGCAGCAAGAAGCATTCACTGGTCTCACTCCTTGAAGTAGTTCCTGGGAGGTATCAGTTCACCAGCTGTCAGTGGAGGATTACAAAAAACCTGGTTACAGCTGGCTTCTTCAAGCCTCAGTGTCTAGGTGATTGCTGTGGGCTGAGATACTACTTAGAATCTAGGCCTCCTGACTGCAAGTAAAGGCTTATGAGCACCAATAAAGGGCAGCCTATTCCCCTGTTCAAAAGCCAGCAGGCAAATAACTTCCTTATTTCTAAAATATTTTATTTCCCTTTTACTTAAACAGCTACAGCCAGTAGCACTGCATTACGGTCAAATACAGAGGTGCCCAGAGGCTCCACTTACAATGTTTTGCTGCTCACTGTAAAAAGACACATAGGAAAGTAAATATCTTATCTTTGCAGCACTTTAAGGAGAACACATAGGAAGTTCATGCTGCAAAAAGGAAGCAAAAACATAGAAAAGCAAGCTACAGTGCAAGTTTTCTAAAGGCTGAAGTTTAAAACCTCTTTCATACAGGGAGGTTAGCTCAATCACAAGCATGCCTGCCATCACAAGAAACATGTTATTTTTCAAAACAGAAAGGTCAGGAGACTGTTAAGCCAGCACAAGCTTAGCCAGTTTTGATTGCATCCTTCAGAGCTGCCTTAAATCTTACCAAAACAGTATGAAAATTTGCTATTTTCATTATGTTTAAAGGACATTTCACCTCTTTAATGTCATGTTTTTTAAAAAATGTAGCACAGTACATACAGAAACTAATAGTGATATTGCCATGTGCTTATCCTCAAGTTACTCATCACTAAGCTTTCAGAGGCTATTGTTTCTTCACTAAGTAATTTTGCTCAAGTGAAGACAGAAACACAAACTGTAAATATTTGGCCCTTCCCAGACTCTCCTTTTTTCCCAGTCTGCCCTTATCTGCACAGAAACCAGTCTGAGTTTGCAGAGCAGCGCCAGCCACGTTACAGCTCGGACACAAACACTCTGGTGAGAAGCCTTTCCTTTTTGAAGGTCAGTGGTAAGTGTCCCAAGTAAGCATGCCAGTATTAGATTACCCTGACATCCGCTCGGCCTCAGGAAGACAGGTCACAGCGAGGTGAATTAGGAGTCAGCTGAGGCAGCAAGACATTCCTGAGAGACAGTTCCTCCAGCACAACAGCAGCTTTTTTGCACAAGCCCTGAGCCTGGCAGGCTGCCAACAGATCTCAGCTGTTCAGCATCTCTGTGGATACAGTACCACCCACCATACCCATTCCCTCCCTTTCAGGAAACATCATTTCCCCTTCTCTAGAGGAACTGCTCACACAATTAGCTTGCAATAGCAAGTAGAAGAAAGTTCTTGAGTAGTTCAAGGAACATAAATGGGCTTTTTGAGGATACTGGACCCAAGCTACAGCCAAGCCTTGTTTACTCACCCTTTTGCCCAAACTAATTTTCTCAGTAGTCAATAATTCAGAGCACTGCAAATAAGTCAGCCTGTCCACAGAACAGCCCATCAGCCTCTTTCTGGCGAGCCTTGGGCAGCTGAAAGCAACACATTAACAGAAAATACCGAACACAAATTAGCCCCATGTGGGATTAAGAAGCTGTAACGTGAAATAATAAACTAAGCAGGCCAAGTCAGATGTCAGTGAAGAAAGGAGAGGTCCAGCCAGAGGACAGATAGTGTATGAAAAAAACCATCAGGATTAAGTCCTGTAAGCTATGTGCAATGTGTGCAGAAACCAAAGGTGCCAGACACATGACATCATACCAGCCAAGTTCAACTCTACTACAGACTGGGAAACCAGAGCCCAATATATTCACTGAAAGTTACCTCAAACCGATGCTCCTGCCTAGCGTTCCAGGAGGGCAACTTGTAACATTTTCCTTTACATAATCAGCATCAAAAAAGAAAACAAAAATTAAAAAAGTAGTATAGAGATCCATAAAAATAGGCTCTTTGACTGTAGATGTTCAAAATAACTTCGGAGTAGTTTGCTGAAAACCACTAAGAGGTTTGTAACTTTAACAAGTTCGGATGCTCTGCAAAGTGCAGTTTCACTTACATCAATGGCAGAACTGGGTGAACTGTTCAAAAAGTGCACAGTACATGGCACAGAGTTACACTCTTCACATTTTTTGATACTAAGACCTAAAAAAACATCTCACAACTGTTGGCAGAAGCTATGGTATCAACCACTAGGTAGGAAAATGAGAAAAGGTCTTAAAGTTCAGTAGTAACTAGGACAGTATTTAGGTCTTCTTCAAAAAGAACTGCATAATGTATCAGATTAAAAAATGCCATTTTAAAGGGAATCAAGCAGAAGACCAAGTATTTCCTTTTTACTTGGGTGATCAAATTAACAAAGCTTCTATTAACACTAGCAAGGAAATTGGTCGTGAAACAAGGGAATATTGTGCCTATCATTAACATGGCAGATAAACATGCTACAAACAGATTATATTATTCTTATGGAAAAATATGCCTTCTTAAGAAAGCTGAAGGTAAAAAAAAAAAAAAGAAATCAATCTCAAGTGAGCAGAGTAGTCCTATGCTAGAACATCAAGATACCACATCTATTTGATGAAAGACATTATCAGCCACTCAACTCTTCAGAAACAATTTCCTTTTATTATTGGCTTGAAGTTCTTCTGTTAACAAAAGATTCCTGACTGCTAATGTGGGAGACCAAAAATTGACAAAATTAATTTAAATTTTCAAATCTAGAGTAGATAATTAAGATTGTCTGCTCAAATACAAGCACAGAAAATAAGAGTATGAGATAATAAACAAGACTGTACTAATACAAAGGCTATTGAAGTCTGAAAAAGGAGCTAACGGTCAATGGAAGGAAGGAACCCAGGTTCCTCAATACAGTAGCAAGAACGTGCCACTGGACCCTTGCAGTAAGTCAAACCCTTTGGTTTTGTTGCAATTCATTGTGCAAGCACCAACCCATCCACTACATCCAAAAGACATCACAGTCAACAGCAGAAATGTGAAGTGGCACGGTGATATCTGGGAATCTTTAGCAGAAGGTTCAGTAAGGTCTTCTGGACCAAGCAGAGGATAAGAAGTTCAGATGAATAGTGGCATTTGATAAAATACACTCAGAACTTTTAGCCACATGCAAGTGCTAAACTGACCAAGATGGGAAGCACATCACCACACGGGAGATACGCCCCCTTCATAAAGGGAACACCAAATTTCTCTGCTGAATGATCCTCCAGGCAGCTAAAGCAAATGTAACTGGCAAATGCCACTGGAAAAGCTTATTGTGGTTCTTCCTTAGCTATGCACACTCCTTTGCTTTCATCAGCAATGTCTGAACAGCTGTAAAGTTAAAAAAAAAAGTGCTAGGTATTTCTTCGTACAGGGCTAGACCTGCAGTTACCTGACTATTAGCAGGGTCAAGATACAGAAGCCCTCTCAGGTGAGTACCTTTTATAACAATTTGTGAATAGGGTTAGGTAAGTCTGAAGTTACTGTGAAACTGTATGCTACAACATCTTGCCTTGTGATAACGTGGCAACATCCAGAATCTGGCTGTAGAGAACAAAAACACTAAATCATGATAATGCTGAATCAACACAACTGAAACTGTCTACTTTCTCCCCTTCCTTCAAGTGTTATTTTTTGCTTTTCTTAACAATTCCTGAAGCAAAGGCAGCAACTTCAGCAATTTGCCAGTGCAGCT